TAGCACTGGCCACCACAGACTCATGGAACAAAAATATGTGCACCGCCTGGGAATCGAACCCAGGTCGCAAGAATGGGAATCTTACATGATACCACTACACCAGCGGCGCATTATCGTCACTAACTGGGCTTCATTCAGCACACAGCACTCCGCCTCTTTACCCATTTTCAGATTAGCTGGGAGCTAGTGGAGCCGACCACCGGGCTTCACAACAGCTCCTCAGAAACAGTTACAAACTATATATCTGCAATGATAATGATGCAAGTGTAGTTTAAAAGCTTAATTTCTACTCTTTAGGTGATATTTAAACAATTATTAATAAAAAAAAATCTAATTTGTTCAATGCATACACAAACAGAAATGTAAAACAGAAATGTAAAATGGTGATTTTAAGGAGGTTACATGTTGGAGAACTTTTTGAGAAAGCCAGGTTAGTTGTTTCGCTCTGCTATGCTAAGCTAAGCAGTATATAACATATGACATGAGAGTGGTAACAATTTTTACATCTCTCAGAAACAACACTCAAAGAGAGAAAGTTAATGAGAATATTTCCCAAAATGTTATAACTGTAATATAAGCTTTTCAGATCATTAGCTAAGATAGCTGCCTATTTGCAGCCCCCTTTCTTCACACCTGATGCTTAATTAATTACAAATGTGCCAACAGCGATGGCCTCCAAAGTCTGCACAGAGACAGGCGAGTGGGGACGTCACCCAGAGAGCAACAGGACATGGACAAACTTTACAAACTGCAAAGCCAACACAACACATCATGGAGCAGTAAGGAGGAATAATGACAGTGAAAGACACCATATAAAGTAGTTTAAACTGTGAAGTTGTACTGATTTTGTTCTCTTGCAGGCAGCAATGACTCACTTCTACTTGGTTATGATTGGTCACGGCCTGTCGGTGGTTTCATTGCTCATATCATTAGGAATATTCTTCCATTTTAAGTAAGTGCGACACAACTTTCTTTTTTTCCCTTTATTATCTCTTTATTTCTTTCTTTATTTCCCCTTTAAAAACAGTATAAACAACAGTAAGAGTAGGAAAATAATGAAACCCTATGTACAAGAGAAAAAACATAAGAATCCCACAACAACAGATTAACACAAATAGTAGCAGCAGCTGCACATTGGCAATAGATTGACAGTGAATATGGGTCAAATATTGCACAGTTAATTATTGCATTTTGGGTGAGGAGTCTGTCACTGAAGGAGCGGCTCAGTGCAGTGATGGTTGCCTGCATGGGGTGGGAGACATTTTCCATCAGTGATTGATAGCTTTGCTATCATCCATCCTCGTCTCCACCCCTTGCACTGAGCGAGGGGGCCAACCCAGAACAGAGCTGCCTTCTTAATCGGTTTTCGAGTCTCTTCCTGTCGGCTGCTGAGATGCTGCTGCTCCAGCAGACCACTCCAAAGAAACAGTATCAATGAAGGTCAAAGTCAAAGGTCAAAGTATCAAAGAAGAATAAAGGGTTCTTCCATGACAGTAATCCATACAATCTGGAGTTATAAATCTTAATATCTTAATTTAATTTTGGGTCCAGATACTCAAACATTTCTTTCAGAAGCTACTATAAAGGGACAAAGTGGGAGGAGCTCTTACAAATTGCTTCAATTTTAATAGTTTAATAAATGATTCATAAATACTAATGACTTATAGTTACACCTAATAAAGTTTGCAGTTGCTGTATACTGTATTAACAATTGTTGACTTGTTTCTTGCACATTAAAATCATTTTTTGAGCAGCTTGTTGAATTTCATGTTAAATCCATGGTCCACCTTACAAAAATGAGTGGATCTACTGCAGCTAATGAAATCCAAATATGCGTCTAATGTGCGTCTCCTCTTCCGCTGACCCTCAGGAGTCTGAGCTGCCAGAGGATAACCCTGCACAAAAACCTCTTCCTCTCATTCGTGCTGAACTCAATCATCACCGTCGTCAGGCTTACAACAGTGGTTAATAAACAGGGACACTCGCATAATGATTCTGTGAGTGATTCCTGCATTCTGTGTCAAAATCTGCTTTGGTTTTTGAAATATTTTGTGTTGAGAGCTCATGTTGCTTTTCCCCTCTAGGCAAGCTGTAAGCTGCTCATGTTCATCCACCTGTATCTGCTGAGCTGTAACTACTTCTGGATGCTTTGCGAGGGCATCTACCTGCACACGCTGATAGTTGTGGCAGTGTTTGCAGAAAAACAACATCTCATGTGGTATTATCTGCTCGGGTGGGGTAAGTAGGGATTCATGACGATATTTCATCTCACTTTCTTACACTCAGATGTTGAAAATATGCTAATTTGGTGGTTTGCAGGTTTCCCGCTCGTGCCAGCGGTGATACATTCGATAGCACGCCACTGCTACTACAATGACAAGTGAGTCTTCTTGATCACCGCCTCCACACGAGACCATTTCTAAAGAATATCATAAGTCACGTGTTTCCATAATGTGTAATGTAATGATCTGATTCATGCATTCACAGATGTTGGGTCAGCTCAAACACTTCCTTGCTGTACATTATCCACGGCCCCATCTGCGCTGCATTGGTGGTGAGTACTGAACTGAAATACAATACACATTTTTCATTGTTTTACACGTACACAATATAGGAAGTATGCTTTCTCATACACAGTCTCACAATTCAAGTGGACACAGAGCATTTTTACAAGTTTTAGTCTTAATTTAAATGAAGTCATTATATCTAGAATTTGATTGAAAACGCTTGGTATACTTGAGAACTTGATTTTAGACCTGCAAATCCACTTTGGCCATTTGGTGGAATGTTTTTTCTGCACTTGAGTACAGAGTATTTCCATTTTATGCTGCTTTATACTTCCACTCCACAACATATTGTAGACAAATATTGTACTTTTTACTTCACTACATTTATTTGGTAAGTTAAACTCTTTGCAGATTCAGATTATTAATAATAAAAATTAAAATATAAATTATGATGTATTAATATAGATTAAACTAGCTGGCCAACTATAGTGAGTAGTTTAAATATGGTTCCACCTTTACCAACTGCAGCATTAAAGTGATGCACACATTAATACATATATTTTATAATCCAGTGATTTAATGTATATATTTCTGAAATGGACATTTCTGCATAATGAGTACTTAAATAGTAAATGGACTGTAAATGAACCAACAACCGTCTGATTAGCGGATGACCAACTCAACCTCTGAGCCACAGCCACCACTTAGTTCTTTGTGATGTTAAAAGTTTTTAGATAAGTAAGGTTTTAAACGCAGGACTTTTACTTGTAACTTTTACTTTTTAACATGCAAGGTGCATAAATGGTTAAAGAGATAAAAGCTCTATTTGGAACAATAGACATATTCACTTCTCGCTTGTTTTAGGGTTTTTGTTTCTTTTTGCCTTGAGTCTGGTCACCATCAAAGTGAAACACATAATCAGTTGGATCAAGGACAAGACTGTCTTGGCCGGTCAAACACATTCCTCCATTTGACCCTCCAAAAATCAACAGTGGAAATAATCCAAATACTTTTGGACAGTGTGATTTTTTTATTCTTACATGTTTGAATGGTTTCCACTGCATCAAACTGCCAAGGAGTCCTTAAAAACCACCAAATCTCATTGGAGCTTTATTAAAAATACACATTACAAATACATTGTCATTTATTCCGTTTAAATGATATGTGATAAATGATGGTTAAACAAATTGGAGATCTGGGTGGTGATTTAAAAGTTTTGAGCCATGCTACCCAACCGCAGACATGCAGTATTATGTGTTGACCCATTAATAGTTGCATTTCCTTTGTTTTCGCATCAAATAAAACGCCTTTTTGATTCCAGGTGAATCTTTTCTTCCTGCTCAACATCGTTCGGGTTCTCATCACCAAGCTGAGAGTGACGCACCAGGCCGAGTCCAGCCTCTACATGAGGGCTGTGAGAGCCACCCTCATCCTCATCCCTCTGCTCGGCATCCAGTTTGTCCTGGTCCCCTACAAGCCCCAGGACCACTGGGTCTATGAGGTCTACCTATACATCATGGATATCCTCCTGCACTACCAGGTCAGTAAACACATATATGGAGCGCTTTATCCAACGCTGTGTATGTACCAATGGTGGTTTAAAATATTTCTAGAATAAGAGCAGGGACATGTGACACTGTAAACATTTGTTGCAGGCCCTTGTGCAGCTGTTTGAGCTTAAAGGATTTCCTATCTTGTGTATTTTCTCACACTTTTTTTCACATGCAGGGTCTCTTGGTTTCTACAATATTCTGCTTCTTCAATGGGGAGGTGAGTCATTGGCTCGATGCAGCATGTTATTACTGATGTTTTCTCATAGTTCAAGGCTGGATTTTGAATTATTCCAGTTAAACTGCAACAGCATGCAACATTTAAGTATCTTTTTTCAATGCTGTGCAATTTTTTAATATCATTTTTAAGGTTGATGGGAACTATGGCTTGTATCCGAAAAGATCCAATGATACACAAGTTAATGGATCTGTAACCAGACCTGTATATCATATCATATCATATCATATCATATAAAAATAAAATCTGCATATTGTCCGTATCTGTCCATATCACCACATTGGACAGTACTGTATTTCTGTGCTTTTTTTCCAGTGCCATCGTCCAAAATGTTGACCGCGGGTTGGATTTTCATATTTTATTATTTCTATTAACTGTTCATGACAAATGCTGTTTAAAAGATGTTTCAGTGCTGCCAGGAATACATGTTATGTTGGCCTAAGAGAAGTCAAATTCACATATCTATTCCTAATAAGTCTGAAAATATCAAAATCAGCATATAATATGTATACACTTTGTATACCTTTTATATTTTGAAACTCTAAAATTCACAAAAACAATAGAGGGCGTGGATATGAAGGGACCAAAAGTGCATTAAAGATGATCTTTACACTTTTTACAAGTGTGAGTACTAAACAAGTAAAATGTGCCAATATCCGTACTTGTGAATACTACAATAGAAACATTCATAAAGAAAACTTATTTAAATAATTCTCTTTTGATCAGAAACATTGCTCTGAAGCTAAATTATGTAAATATTTTTTCTTATAAAAGTAGCAATTTCTGATGAACCAATCAATTTCACGCTTGGATAAACAACTTTGGGTTAACGCCGCCCATTTTGGGTTAAGCACCACCCACTTAGGATATAAGCCCTGCCCTCCGAGTACAGACACAAATCATAAAAAGGCTTTTCTTTTAATCTCCTTAAGTTGCTGCATTTCCAAAGATAAGGTATGATAAGTTCCTCTTTGTGTCTCGTCTTGCAGGTACAGAGCGTCCTGCGGAGACACTGGAATCAGCAGCGGATGCAGTTCGCCGGCACGTTCGCCAACGCCGACTTCTTCCGCTCAGCCTCGTACGTGGCGTCGTCACTCACAGAGGTCCACCGCTGCTACAGCATCGAAAGCCACACCGAGCACATGAACGGCAAGAGCTACTCAGACATATTCAGATCGGACAGCCCTTTCGTGTGAAGGCGGCCCTCGACGTTGGAGGCTCACTGTTTCTTTGACTTCACCCAAGATGTTACGAAGATTTGATGTCAGTGTTTTCTTGGAGTTTTGCTACTGACTGAGTACACACTTTTCTTTATTTTTTGCCTTTTTTTCCATCTCCCAGCCAAATAGTTTCCTTTTTTGACTTTTTCTCACTAAATTAGAAGGAGCTTGAGAGAGCATCATTATTTATGTCCCATGAGCATTCAAAGGGGCTGTTGTTGGCCATAAGGAAGACCAAATAAATCAACCAGTCTCACTGTGAGCATTAACACAAGGAATTCCTGCCTTTTTTTGCATCTTGTGGAATAAACTTGAAGAGCCCCCAGTGAACAAGAAGCTGTTCTGACTGTTAAGATCTTACAAAGAGAAAACCTAAGATTTTTGTCTGAGCCTTTTGAGGATATTGATGCAACTTAAAAATAGGTAGTTATTAGTGAGGGTGTTGTGGAAAGGAAATTCACGAAACACCCTGTTTAATCACCTCTTGAAATCTACTTGTATGCACATAGCTGTTGCAGAACTTTTTTAATGTGGCAGAGCCGGAGCCATAGTTGCTGGGAGTTATTGAATAGCAGAGAAGGAGGTAGTCAGACGGTAGGCAGTTACCTTCAAAAACTTAATGCCATGATTTCCGTGGTTAGAAACATACAGAACTAGACATTTAAAATGCAAAACAGTACAAACACACACAAAAACTAAAGCTTGCTTCTTTTGAATTAAAGACATGCAACTTAGAATAAAGGGTGAATGATCCCCTGAGAATTTAATATTTATATTATTTTCTTTTAGCTAAATTAAAAATAAATAATGAGTTTCATAAGAAAAAGCTTACATTGTTCTGTCTGGCATGGGTATAGCTACAGTATATTTTAAGTTAATGCTCCGTTAGGCTTACTGTGTGTTTTTTTGCTTCACATCTGATTATTCCGAAATGCTGGAGAGATTGTAAGATAGTCACAGAGGAAACTATGACTGTGTTTGTACATATATTTGTGTATGAATATGACACATATAAGGCACAAAATATGAATTTTGTATGTAGACATCCTTTAGTGTACTACTAGTGTATCATTTTCAAGTCAGCTAAGAACACCTATATTACTTTTACTACATTTCAGTCCACAAACTGCAGAAATTAATGGTATAAAGTGTGAAAGTGTCATGTTGCATGCTTTTAGATGAATCCTCTGGTGATCAGGAAACAAATTCAGCAGGAACTGACCTATACTGATTCACTGATTTAACACATTGATAATTATTACCACTTTAGTGTCAAGATAAAGTCACCTCCAGTCAGAGATCACTTTCCTGTCAGAGAGCTGCTGGTTTCAGCCTTACAGTACAGGAATTACACACTTATGCAGCACTATTAACGGCCTCTAACGTTATGAATAATCACCTGAAGTGGAAAAATAATTTAAAGCTAATAGTTTGACATTTTTGCTGAGTGTTAGATGAGAAGATTGATACCACTCTTATGTCTGTCTGTTCAAAATACAAAGCGTTATTTACTAAAATGGCAAACTGTTCCTTTAAATGTGCCCTAAATGTAACGAGCTAGCTTATAATTTCTTTTTCTGTTGGAATCACAGAATATTTCTGTTATTCATAATACAATAGGTTACTAGACTGGGTGATTACTACAGTATTTTATTTTTCCTTTAAAGAGACCATACAGTGGCCTAACTGGATGCATAGTGGGTACATCGTCAGATATTTATTATGATACACTGGACATAAGTGTGACGTCTGATTGAAGTTTGACATTTTGTGAAATATACTTATTTGCTTTCTTGCTGAGAGTGAAATTATAAGATTGACACCACTCTCATATCTGTGGGGCCTACAGTATATACCAGCCAGTTATCTTAGCTTAGCACAAAGACTGGAAACAGGGGGAAACAGCTAGCATTGGCTATGTCTGAAGGCAACAAACTCTGCCTACCAGCACCTCTAAAACTCACTAATTAATGTTTTATAATTTTTTTTTTGCCTTAGCATTTAGCATTCCAACCTGCACCAGGGTAGCTGTTTCCCGCCATTCTCCATTCTTAATGCTAAGCTAAGATTACCAGTTTATATTTACAGACATGAAAGTGGCATCAATCTTCTCAAATAACCTTTTTTTTTTATCAGGAAAGCGAATTTTCCAAAAACGTCTATTACAAACTATTTATAAACTCTCTTGCTAACATCTTTGCAATAGGCTACACTGAATATTAATAATAATAGGGATTTGTATTGCCATTAATATAGGCTACATTGGGGGAAAGAAAACATTTACTGGCTTCTCTGGGCTTTCTTTCAACCATATTCTGCTGTCTTCCTCAGTAAATGGAACTTCCCCAGGTGTTACAACGTGATAACAAGCAGACTTTTAGAGGGAGGGCAGACCGTAACTCCGGCCTCTGACAGTAGTGCCATTCACTGAAGAAAACAATGGGATATGACCGAAAGCCCTGCAACAAAAAAAAGCTAGTAAGTGAACCTTGAGTTTAGGATCCTTTATCCCAGATATGTTTTCCCGATGTCAAGACTGAAGTTTGATGTTCGAAAAACAAGGACTATATAAAACCCAGATGTGTGTTTTCCCATGTTGTAGCAGTTACACATTTTCATTATTTTCATTTTTTGTTGTTTTGTCAATAAATCCAGACAATGCTTGTTTATACTTAAGAAATAATGCTGTAAATAAAAACAAGCTGTTTTTAAACTGAGATTCAGGAGAGAAAAAAAGAGTCGCTGTATTTGTGTTTCAGTTTCAATTCCCTCAAAGACAAGCGAAAGAAAACAACGTACGTGTATTTTCTTTCCCACATATTTAATTAAGGGTGGGATTTCCTTGTCTGACCTTAGAAAATGTCCCCCACTGAAATGAATATTGTTTCCAGACAAAGCAGGGCGTGTTACTGTCTGTTCCTCGTCCAGAACATATATGTGACCAGGTACAATTAGGAAGTCCCAAAGGAAAAAAGCGCTATATCTATCCCTTCAGTGCATCATTTATCAAATTCAGAACAGAGAAGCTGTAAAAACACTTAACATGCCACTCTTCTTTCAAGTGTTAAATACATCCATCTGCAAACAGGCCGCATGATGATCAACAGCATGTGTGCATTGACCGTTTATCATCGCGAGTAATATTTACGAGCCACTTTCATGCCGTTTTCATAGTCGTGACCTCAATCCACAAAGGATTCTGGTATCCGCGGTTTTGGACAGAGCACTGGGCATCACAATAATCCCAAGACTGTCTCCTCCCATGTTATTTTGTGCAGAACACTAAACATCTGGCGTTTTTACAGCACAGCTAACCGTACTTTTTCCTTGCATCCTGTTACATCAATATGAGAGATGATATCCTGTGTGGTTTCTGATGGCACACATTTCCTTTAAAACAGAGATAAAAAAAAAAAAAAATGAACTCCAAATAAAACTTGAAGCTGTAAAGATCAGATGTTTTTGTTGTTTACCTATCACAACGCCACCAGACAAGTCCCACCTCCCTTTATTTACCGCAGTGGAAATCAGACCAGTGGATGTATTGCAGGCTTCCTGTTTCTAAGAATACACTGGCATTGAACTCTTGATCCGTCGGCTCTTGTGTGCTGGTAGCAAACACTTCCTCAGACTCATGACTAACACTTGTTTACTGCCTTAACTTCCGAATGCTTCCACTGAAACTCAAAGCATTTTAGCTGATGTTTTGTGTCCAGACGGGTTGTCGGTGGCAGTTCTGCGAATTTGTCAGGGACATTTCAACAGGACATGACTGAATAGAGACATAATATGCCACATGTGCTCTCCTGCGTGGTGACAGTCTTGCACATGTAGTTGTAGTAAATAGTGCTCCAGCTTGTCATGGCCACCTTTAGACTAGTTTATTCAATTTACAGAGAAAAATACACTGCTGGAATTCAGCAGGTATGTTGGCTAGACAGCTAACTTTGAGCCAGTGTTAAACATCTCATTTTTTAAAGTGACTCTCTGCTGGAGGCAGTGGTGGAAAGTACATTTACTCATGTACTGTGCTAAAATGAGTTTTTAACAGGTTATGAAACTCCTCTATATGAGCTACATACGCACACAAGATCATTGTATTCCTAATGTCTGAGACTGGGTGGGAGTCACCTTGAAATGAATTAAATGAGCCGGTGGAAACACTACCACTTTTGTCCACAGGAGTCGCCAGAATCAAAAAAATTAAAGTAGTTAAATATGGCTGATATTAAGGTAACAAAAACACAATGATACTATATTAATGTGGTTATACACTAATGAAAACATAACTATGAATATAATATTCCATTTC